AAGTAAGAATTTTAGGAGTTATTAATGAAAAAACCTTTTTTGAAGTAGTGAATAAGCTAATCATTTTCTAATTCACTGTATATACCGTTCTATTTCAATATGTCTTTATTTTATGGATTTTTTAAAAATAAAGAAGATAAAATTAACGTAAAACATACATATACTTTCTTTGCTTAAGAATAATGAGACAACATTAAAATTCAAGTATTAAGTGTAAAATAAAGAATCATAAAATATGAGAATCTAACTTGAGTTGGTGCTGAAAATGTCTTATTAAAGCGTTAAACATACTAAGTATAAAAGGCAAGGAAAAAGAGAAAATAAAAAATAAAATTTCTGGTTATCCTCTTTCTTTTTAAAGGAGTTGAAAGAAAATTACGAAATAGAAAAAAAAATTTTTCCATAATTTTTTTTTTATCTAAAACTCTATCATGTATATTAACACAATCACTTTACCATGCATTCATTCTTGTATATTACAGTAATGTGGATTTAGGTAACTCGAGTTCAAAAGCACATCCATAGAAAATTATGTTCTTTAGCATGTAGATGTAGAAGAAAACAAAGGAAACATGTAAATGTGTTGACACATTAGTTTTTCAATTTCATCTCTACTCTATTTTTAAATTTGTATAAAAAATAAATGAAGGAGGAAAATCCCAGGTGGGAATATTCAAGTGCTTAATGGAATGCGATAGAATATAAGGAATAATAATTACACAAAGTTTAACAGCAACGCGGTGTCCCTAGTAAACATTTTAAATTTTTTTTTTTGTGATGTTTAGAGAATACAGTATTACATGTATAGGAATACGTTTATATGAAGCACAAAAGGAAATAAAAATGATGGATGTTGTAGACTCTTCATTCTTCCTTCTAATATAATAGTACATCAAATATTTTCATCCTTGTTTTAGCATTATGGGAACTAAGAATTGCAATGAATAACAATAAAACTAGGGTTGCGAAGTTCCAATATTAGTTTAGCAAAGAAAGAACTATATGCTTGTCTGGAACGCAAAAAAAATATGTCCAGCGAAATTATTAGGTAATGAAAATATTATCGATGTTTTATATTTAGTAAAAGAAAATTTTTAAATTTTAATACCAATTCATTTTTTTAATAAACGGAATGGGTTTTGGCATATCATTTTTCGATTGCTAATTTTTGTAAATTTTTAAACAAAAAAACTTTCGCTTAATGTGTTATTTATAAATTTTCCACAAAATTCCTTGAAGTATATAAAATACGCTTTCCATTATAACCACAAAAGTTATTTTGAGATTTTTTTTCTCTTCATTATAAAATTGAGGTACTTTTAAAAATATTTGAGGAAAACTTTGTGTATACCGCACTCCAAAATTTAAATATAATCCTTAATATTCGTATGAATATTAATTTCATCACTCTCATCTCTTTTGAAATGGTGATCATTAAAATCTTTATTCAAAATACAAAATGAATACTTATCTATTAATTCTCTAATAGTTTTAATTAAACTTTTTTGCGGTTGCTCTTTTTTTAAATTGTTTGAAAATTTTATGTAATATTAATATTTTAATATTTTGAGTTTTAAAAAGGATTCTTTAAATTTCAAATTTCTAGAAAATCCTTTTTTGTAAGAGGATAATTTGTTTTTTTTTTGTTTTTTTAGGTTTTTTAATTAAAATAAAATCTAACATTTTTAGAAAAGCGCCCAAAAGAGGATATACGCACTTATAAAATAAAGGTAGAAAATGGAACTGAATACGAAATGTACAGTAAACTCTCTTTATGTCAAATGAGATCGTTGTTTAAGATAATAAATGTTTAATCGTTTGCATAAAAAGTAATTATTGTGTTTCAACCTTCTAAAACAACATATATAGCGACTTTTTTTATAAACTTCTTTTACATTAAAAAAATTTAAACTAAATATTATTTTTTTAGATAACAAAACAAGCAAAAAAATCAACAATTTTAAAACAATTCAGAATAAATAAGTTTCATTTTTATATAGAGATATTTTAAAAATTCATTTTATATAAGAATTTATCGTGTGTATGTAACCATAAATGTTGGTAAAGACATGAGTGTACGATTTTATTTAAAAATGCGTAAAATCATTGTAACAATTTTAACCCATCAGCATTAAACCAAACACAATTCTACACGCAACATACATATTTATGTATATCTAGCTTTATATGCACATTTTATCATACATAGAATAGTAAAATTCTATATTCACTTTTGTAAAACATATTATTATGGTTATAATACTAAATTATACATATAATATTCCCCTTATTTATTATTAGCCTTGATGATTAATTGAAAAGGAAACAAAAAGTTGTTATTCAAAGGCCAGAAATATTTTTATTTAATTACTGGGATTTTAGTATTAAATATTTATTATTCATTTAGTTAATAATATTTTAAGGATAAAGTTTGAGAATTTTGAGAAATAAAATTTTATTTCAATTTTATTAGTTCTTTCAAATATAAATTTTTAAATTGAAAAATTTTCATAGACATATAATATTATTATATAATACATATATAATGTATAACATAAGAAATCAAAGCAAAAAGTCAGCCCAGATCCCCTCAACCCATCCCATCGGCAATCTCGTTGCCCGCATGTTCACTTTGAGCTGACAATCAAATGAGTGTGATTACCGATAAGTTTCACAAGGCAGCTCTAGACCAGCTTGGTTGTAACCCGCGCCGAATGAAGCGTCAACTATGCCGCCCTTCTGTCCGGGAACACATAGGTGATACGGTTTTTGAACCCCTTTTCTAAATTGACTTTTAGACAGATTTCTATTACATGTATTTCGGCTTGAAATACTGTGCAATACGGGTTCAGGGCCGCATGTATACGCGTGTCCGGACGCCCTTCTTCGCCCTCGTCAGAGAAATCGGTAAATCACTAGCCGAGCTTACTATGTGGAGGTACAGCGGTGGCAACTCAATCATCACTTCCAATGTAGCTGTCCACATTACTCCAATCACTACTAGGCAGGCCAGCCTCTGCAGCTTTTCCAGCTTGACCCGCACACTCGCTTGCTGAGCCTTAAAGAAGCAAACAATCGATGCGTAGGTGACAATGAGCCTAGCAAGAGCTGTATATAGCCACAGTGCTCTCCTGGGACTAAACCTCCAGGCCCTACTGATGAACCTCCTACACATCCATAAGGCCGTTGTAGCTCTCCCGATAACTCTATCTATATGGGTATTCCAGCAAAGGCGCTCGTCCAGGGTTGCCCCAGATACTTCACCTCCCTAGAGTAACTAATATGTTCACCAAAGAGAATGGAGCTCGTTAATTTATCCCTACTTCTGTGTTCGGTGAAGGCAACCAAGGTGCTCTTGCTATGATTTATATTTAACTCAACGCATTCGCACCATTTTTCAACAACACGTAAATTTTGCTGTAGAAGATCAGAAATAGTGCTCTCAAATTTGCCCCGTATGACGAAGGCCACATCGTCGGTGTAACCCTATAGACACGCGCCTGAAAGCCCCTGAGTGCAGCGATTAGATCATCCACTACAATAGACAACAGAAGGGAACCCTTTTATAGCGGAGATGAAGAGTTTATCGTCAGCTATGGTGGACCTAATATTCCTATCCTGACTCACAGATGACATGATATGGAGTGTTATCAAAAGCATCCTCAATATCAAAGAAGCAGCACACTGCCACCTCCTGCACTTCTAGTGAGTTTTTGAGGAGCCCCACTAGACTCTGCAGAGCGAGTGTAGTAGACCTTCCTGATTGATAGACTGATTTAGAGCTTACTTGATGCTTGTAAGCTCTTGTTCTTCGATAATCTTTCTTTTTTAAGTTTTAAATTGTATAAAAATGTTCGTATATCCTTGATTTTTTTATGTCATGCTCTTTAACCTTTCCTTCTTTGTTTTTTGCGTCGCCTTTACATTGGAAAACTTATCCTTATATACTTGTACTTGTGTATTGATTTTACAGAAGTTTATGTAAAAATTATGAAGTTTCATTATATTTCAAATTCTGTCACTGAACGTAAAAAACAGAGAAAAGAAAACAGAGGATTTGCATCATTACATTCTATATATCCTTTTCGTTCTATTGATATTTTTTTATCCCTTTATACAGCCAAATTTTACAAACATCCTTCCATATGCAATATTTTTAAAGATGATTTCATTATAAACATATAACATTTGTATGTAATATACTATGAAAAATAGAAAGAAAAAAAATTTAATGGGAAAGAAATTTTGTAAGGATTCTCGGATATGTTTTTAAAAAAGGATATTGTCGCTTATTTTTTTTTTTTTTCATATCCTATACTATTGGCTATTCTATAACCTAATGTGCATCGATAAGAAAAATCACGTAATTTGATACATTTTATACACTTTTGAATTAAGCCTGTTTCCAGTTTTACATTAATATATCTCAGGACTGTATGCGTCCAAAGACACAGTGTAGACAACATTGTTATATGAACTCATACACATTGTCGAAATATCTTTTTAAAAATATTACATGTGTATATTTTTGTACAAAAAATTAAATGAAATGGCAGGTGTACACGTTCTCTAAATATTTATTTGATTTAAAAAAGCAAAATATTGGATTTTAAAATTATAGTTATGAAAATAAAGGAACTGTACGTGAACATTTATTTAAGAACCATTTTTACGAACAACACATATCCATATGCGTTTAATCTTGGAAAACTGAAAATCAAATTAAATTTTTTTGAGAATTATCCTTGGGATTCATTTAAAGTGTTTTTTTATATTCAATCCTAAAATATTTCTACACATACATACATAATAGTAAACTTCTTATATAAATAATAGAAAAAAGGATTTTGACAATTGAAAAATAGGGGATTTATTTAACTACTATTATTTGAATTACACTTTTTGAAGAGAATGAAGTTTTGCATCTAAAATAAATTTTATATTTAAAGAAAAAAATTAAACTAAATTAATATTTCATAACTTTTTTATATGTATTGCAGACGAGCAGGGATGATCGCATACCCAGTAGTCCAAATTCACCACATGATGTGCATTTACGTAATGGTCGACCAATTTTAAGGCATTCATTATCAACACAATCAAATTCAACACCTGCATCACCGCAATTAAGTCATTTATCGAACGGTCATCATTATCAATCTCAATCATCTGTATCATCACAATCTTCAGTAATTTCAACAATACCGACATCACAGAAACTTTTAGAAGATGCTTTATCAAAATCAGGACCATATCAAATGATTATATTACCAACAACTGGTGGTTATTGGGTCGATGGAACGGATCATGAATGTTCATTTGATTCTCGTGGAAATGCAGTATTACCGACTACAGCATGGCGGGGTAAATTTGAAACAGATGATACAGCCAAATGTTACAGACGTTTTTTTCTTGGTCGAGAACATTCAAATTTAGTAGGGCACGATGATCAGTTGGGTCCAGTTTTATTATCAATAAAAAATGAAAATGTTGCTAATCAAGAACATATTCGTATTTTACTACGATTACGGACTGGAACAATGCATGAAATAATACCAGCTTCATGTTTGTCACCAAATCCCAGTCCCATTAAAATGGCACGACTTCTTAATGATCAATTAAATGTTGATAGCTTTATGCCAGTATTGTGTCCAAAAGCTTCACAATTAATTGCTAGCTACGATGAACATGTATTGGTTTCAAATTTTAAATTTGGGGTTTTATACCAAAGATTCGGACAGACAACGGAAGAAGAATTATTTTCAAATAATACAGCATCACCAGCATTTGAAGAATTTTTAGATTGTTTAGGCCAAAGAATTAAATTAAAAGAGCATAAAGGTTATCGTGGTGGTTTAGATATACAAAACGGTCATACAGGAGATACAGCTATTTATGAGATATTCAAAGAACGGGAAATAATGTTTCATGTTTCAACTATGTTACCATATACCGAAGGTGATCCACAACAATTGCAACGTAAAAGGCATATTGGAAATGATATTGTGGCTATAGTTTTTCAAGAGTCGAATACACCATTCTCACCGGATATGATTGCAAGTCATTTTTTGCATGCATTCATCGTAGTACAACCACTCGAACCAAATACACCGAATACGAGGTACAAAATTAGTGTTACGGCACGGGATGGTGTGCCTTTTTTTGGTCCAACTTTACCAAATCCTTCTGTATTTAAAAAAGGACAAGATTTTAAGGAGTTCATTTTAACTAAATTGATAAATGCAGAAAATGCTTGTTATAAGGCTGAAAAATTTGCGAAACTTGAATTAAGGACAAGAACTTCTCTATTACAAAATTTAGTTGAAGAATTGAAAGAGACCACAAGAGATTTTTTGGGAGCTGATCTAACAATGTGCCACAGTAGTGGAGCTAATGGTGAAGCTGCAAGCCCAACTCCTGAAACTCCAAAGGCTGAAAACACGAACGCAGGAACAAGATTTATTGATACTGTTAAAAAAGCATTAATATCAAGAGTTCGATCCCAAAGTGTAGATCAAAGTAATCCAGTTAATGGAACAGGTTCAGTGGAAAAATTGAATGTTTCATCAAGTAAAAAGAAAGAAAACAGTTTATCAGAAACTCCAAATTTAAATGTAAGTAGATAATATGGTTACAAGTACAACCCATAATGATTCTGTTTTTTATACCCTGATACTAGTCAAATAATTTATTTTACTCTTTTTTACAGGCATTGGGGCGTAGCAATTCTAAAAATTCATCTAAAAAATCACTAAATGAATCAGCATCATCATCACCTGACATCACATCTAGAGGACCGATTAGCACCAGTAATAACAATAATAATATAAATAATAATAATAACAACAACAATAACAATGTTGTGACAAATTCCAAAGAATCACACAATATGAATAATAATGGAGTTACAGCTACAATGTCAGAAACAAGTGATAATTCTAGCTTGAATAGTGTTGATTTAGAACCAATCGATCATGTTGATGCCGGAGCTGCGTATATAGATAGTGATACTGGTTTAGAATCAATGTCATCAGCCGAGGCAACAACAAAAGCATGTTCATTATGTTTAGATGGTAATGGCCCTTCTGGAGCACAAAGTGTACTGGGCAGCTCACCAAATGATGTAGCAACACAAGTTGATAGTTTAAGACAAGAAGTTACACGCTTAAAATGCGATAAATTAGATTTATTAAGACAAAATGTGGTAAGTTAATATTTCATTTGTTATTATAATTACTTTCTTATTAGCGAAATTAGTAAAATAATAAATAATAAGTAAAATAAAAAATTAATTTAATTTTTTGAAAACGTTTGAATTTTCTGCCATAATAATATCTTGTTTTCTTAATTTTAACTTTTACGATGCAGACCTGCCAACGGGATATCAAACGGTTACGAGAAAGAGAATTATCATTACAGGGTGACTTAGCAGCTGCTGGTAAAGAAATTTTAAGATTAAGAGACCTTCTTAAAGAATATATGCCTGAATCAGAAGTAACGGGACCGATTTCACCAATATAAATTAAAAAAATTATTTAGTTAAGAGAGGTAAATTTTGTATTAGAAGAAAAGTGGAAGTTTAATAATTAAATTTATTCAAAAACAAAATTTCTATATTTTTATGTTAAAGCGAAAGCAAAAAAAATTTCATACAAACAAAAAAAGAAGAATTTTGTTATTAATAGAATATTAAAAATTTCTGAATCTGCAGCCTAAAATTATCTTATACTTAAAAGTTAAGTATGTACACATATTTATTATGTATATACAGAATGTATATCAATAATACATTTACAATAAGAATTAAAAATATAACAGAAATGTCATACTAAAAACAAACAACTTTTATAAATAGCAAAAATTTAATGAAATTTAAGTGTTAATGAAATATTAATTAATTAATAATATTTACTATTAATGTTATTATGAAATGAAAATATTTAAGTTAAGGAAATATGACGTTTTATTTTAATTTTTTCTATTTTGAGTTTCGAGTATAAAAAAGAATTAATTTAAAAAAATATACCAAAAATTTACATTTACTAATTAATTAAATTCATTGAAACGAAAATATTATTAAAGTTGAATTTAAACCTTTATTTTGATTAATACGATTTTTATATTTACCTTTGACACTATAATAAGAGTAATTTAAATATTTTTAATAAAAATTATAATTATAGGGCAAATTGTAAGACTATTATACTGTAAAATTAAGTATAAAGAATTTTTCAAAATAATTACTCCTTATGGATTTTCGATTCACTATTTATTAATTTACACCTAATAGCTTTTCATTAAAATTGTTTGAAAATGATGTATGTACTTCTTTAAAATTTTATCATTTCCTTTTCTCTTTCCCTTGTTATTTTGGTCTATTTAATTTAGTTGTTTTAACCATGTGGCGTTTACACCCATTCATACATTACCAATTCTTAGATCTGGTTTTATTTGTGATGCCAGGGTCTGACATCACAAATCCGATAAGATATCCGCGCAAATTTTCGGTGATAACAGATCCTTGAAGTATAGTTACTTTGAGTTTGGGTACAGGCATGTATGCTCAAGCTGGGTATTTCTTCATGTTTTGCATAACTGAATAATTTGAATAACGCCCGCTTGGTTATTTGATAAATATTTGAACAATTCTCGGTTGGTTACTTGCTTTAGAATTTTTTAGTTTTATTTATATGAAAGTGAAAAATGAACAGTGTTGTAAAAAGTATAATGAATAAAATTCACATTAATTTTTGTATTATATAACGACTGATATCAAATTTAGAGCTCTAAAACATTATTTATGGCAATGAAAATTCAGATAACTATTTTATTGAATAAAAAATTCTGTTAAATTTAAAATTACTTATCTGACAGACATTTAAATATGCTTTTATTATAATTTAAAAATTACTTGTCATATAATTTATGTCATAATGCCCCTATTAATATTTTTATAAATCGAAAATATATATATAATAGGACTATATTTCATTTTATTTATATAAAATAATCCACATATTAAAAAATATACATATACATAATTTTGATACTGATGTATATTAACGTGTGATGGACTTATGGGGAATTTGAATTTGTTAATATTTAATATATGAGTGCAAAATAGTTTTAAATTATTTCGTTATGTTGGATAGACAGGTTTTCACATAAATCCTTTATATATAAGTATACAATGTAAAAATTGTATGTCATAAAATCTTTTGAAACATAGAAAAAATTAGAAATACAAGCCTCTGTTTATATTTAAATTAGTAAATTTAAACAACAAACATGAATTAAAGTAAAAAAGTAAATAATTTCTTTTATAAAGATAAATGAATTCAAATTTTTGGCATGGAAAATTATCAGTAATAGAAGAAGAGTTCAAATTTAAACAACCAATAAGAAAAATGAAATATAAAATCCAAAATTGAATTAATTTTTTTTATTTTTATTTTGGAGTAATTATTTTTTTATTTTTAAAAAAAATAAAATGTGTAAAATTTGTTCATAGCCAGTGGGAAACAAATATTTTATTTCCCATGCATAATTATACGTTATGTATGCATTCACATATATGTATGTATATAGCAATATAAATATATTATTAATTTTTAGAATTTATCGATTAAATTGTACAAAAATTTATAAAATTGAATTCAAAATTTTTATAGTTAAATAAATTTATTGTTATAAATTTTGAGTGAAAACAATTTTCTTTTTAAATATTTTTAAATATCTGGGTATTTTATTCAATTTTTTGTTTAATTATTATATAGTATAAATGAATGTACATAATATAAATATTATAGGAAATAAATATACAATTCTTAAATTTAAAAAACAAATGAAAAAAAATATTGATTTAGAAAAAAGTTTTTATCGTTATATCTACATATGTATATAGTTGTTAGCTACTAAATGAAAAAAACAAATTATTAAATGATTTATTTGAATAATTTTTTTAATTGTTAATATCTTTATAAAAAAAGTAATATAATGATAATCCGATACAGTTTTCACTTTTGATTGAATTAAAAATTTAATAATAGTGTTTATCAGTTTTCAATGCAAAATCATTAAATTTTTGTTAAAAAAATGAGCACTAACATTCCATACCATTCCACGTGGCATTAAAATTTTTAAAATTGAGGACTTATAAAATACTTTGCCCATATTACTCTAAATTATTGATACACACATATTGACCCAAAATTATGACTCGATTCAATATTTTAGAGAAAAAATAAAGTTTTATTTAAATATCAGAATCATTTGTTATTTTACTACATTAAAAAATCTATCTTTAAACATTTTTATATATTACACATGCAATATGTATCTTCTATTTGAGTAATCTTAATATACACTGTTTCGTCCAAAATTTGAAGAAAAATTCTTATTAAAGAATACTAAAATAAATCACAAAATCGCAGATCAGATGTTCTATTTTGTTAGTTATCTTTTAATATTCGCTGCTGATTAGAAAATAATCAAAATATCAGCAAGTAAAAGAAAAAAATGTATTACTCTTTCAATTCACTAAAGAAGTTTATGCCATTCGCGAATAATCACAATTATTTGTTAATTATTGAGTTAAAGATTATTTTAATAAGAATTGTTGAGAAAATAAGGTTTTTAACTAAATTTTATCTTTTTGCTATGGCAAATGGACGTTATAATGCCATTAGCTTTTATAAATAATGGCTTTCGCGAATTTTAACTTTCTATTCAAAACAAAAATTAGTTTAAAATTAGAATGAAAATTAAATGTTTTATGAAATTTCAAACGTGAAATGGCAGTGAATTTTTACTTTCACCATTATTGTTTTTAAATCATATGTTAATTTACCTAAATTTAAATTTATAATATGAACAAATTTTACATGTAACGTAATTGCTTTTATAACATAACATATTTAAAAAAAAATTTAAGTATTCCCAAATATTTCATTAATCATCTTTAATAAAATTTCAATTTTTTTCATTTACAATTTTTTTGTACATTTAATATAATTAATTTATACAACACAAACTTATGTTAACATGTACTTTTCTCACACTTATCAATTATTTCATCAAAAAATTTAATTTGAAGAAATAAATAAAATTTAATTTTAATATAAATAATTAAAAAAAAGTTGTTCCGCTGTGATTGTTATTTAGAATTTAAGTAATTTATGTATATTATTAATGATTATGTACTATTAACTAAATGTAAAGCAAATAATTTTAAAATAAAAATTTAAAAAAAAAATCAGGTAAATAAATAAATATATATAATTTTCAATGAACATTTAATATTAAAAACAAATAATTTATATATGAAGTTTAACATAATACATGTAAATTAATTCATAAGAAAATGAAAGAAGATTTTTAAAATATGCTAGAATGAAGAAAATAAATCGAAGGATATATATAGTAATAAAATTAAAAAAAGAGAGAAGATTAAAAAAAATTAACAAACATTTGAATAAAAACACTGTGTTGAACCAATTATGTATGTAAAATAATAATACTGTGTTTTGTTATTAAAATTCTATTCGAAAAAGCAATTCCCCTTTTAACTTCTAAACTAGAAAATGTAAACCTTAAGCAATATTGCAGTTTTACCAGTGTGTAAAACTATGTTGTAGAATACAAAAAATTTATGTTTTTCTGAAGAAAAATAGTTACAAATTTGACATTTTGAATTTGCACTGGTAAAATTTTTAGATTCCCCATTGGATTTTGTAACATACTTTTTTGCAGGGCTATATTCTTCAAATGCTGCATTTTATAAATTTTTGAAAATAACCTCATTAATGGAATTAAGAAAATACATAGTATTTTATGTAGGTCTTACAGATTTTAATTTACTATTGAAATTAGAGCTACCAAAATTTTTATAAAATAAAATTTTTTTTGTAAGCAAAGCATTAACATAATGCATAACAAACTATTTAAATACAAAATTTACATATTTACGTATCTCGTTTTTTTACTCACTTTTTATTCACTTTCAAATCAGAATTCTCAATATTTTTTAATAGATATTTCACTCTTCCGATAAGATTACTCATTTTTTCAATTGGATTTTTGCATGTTTTCTCAGATTTTCGACTGAACGTATCACTTTCAAAAACAAAGTAAATAAATTTTGTATGCATTTTAGAAAAAAACGAGATACGCAATACCAAATAATTCTTCTCACTCGAAAATACATATTGAATGATAATTGTAAATTTATCATAAATTGAATTGTAAGAGGATTACTTTATTTAAACTCATAAACCATATTATTAACTATTAAAACTTAATGTGCAGATTTAATCAAATATATTTTCTACATGATTTCGCTTACTAAAATTACCAAAAATTTCAATAAATTTATCACTTATTTAGACAACGCAGTAGTTTATATACATATTCCTAAAGTAAATGATTTTTAATAATCCTAAAATAGCCTTGAATTGAGTTGTGTTATATGGTGTACACATCACATACATACACATTTTACATGTTATACGTATGTATTGGAATATTACAGATTTAAAAGTGTACTCAAAATGAAAAATCAATCTGGCCAATCTGATTACTTAAAACCTAATTCATGTCCTAGCTAGAGAGTATGATATGATTTTTATTTTTATTTTCTTTTTTGTAAAAATGATGGTTAAACTCAAGGTTACAAGAAAATCCTCAATATTGTGATGTTTGTAAAAAAAATAAGAAAATAAGAATATCCGAATGAAATAAGGAGAAATGAACTAAGAAGAGGAAGTGGGGGATGATTTGTAGAGGCTATCAATCAAATTAGATTATAACAAACATGGAAGAATATGTCCAAATACCTCACATATGAA